GTCCCTTGTCTCCATCTCACAACTTCTTCCAGGAAATACCACTATGGAATGTGGAAGCCACATCCATGAGACAGGACAAGGGGGAATGGCTTTAAACTGCCAGAGGGCAGAGTTAGATGGGATATTGGGAAGAAATCCTTCCCTGTGAGGGTGGGGAGGCCCTGGCACAGGTTGCCCAGAGAAGCTGTGGCTGCCCCATCCCTGGAAGTGTCCAAGGCCAGGTTGGATGGGGCTTGGAGCAACCTGGGCTAGTGGAAGGTGTCCCTGCCCATGGCAGGGGGTGGCACTGGATGAGTTTTACGGTCTTTTCCCACTCAAACCATTCTGGGATTCTATGTGATAAAACTGGTCCCAGCAACAGAGAATGTGAGTCTGGTACATCATGATTTTGGCCATCTGACAGTGTCAACTACTGTGCCATAAAATCTCAAAGCACTGTTGTAAATGCAAGAGCCAGGGGAAAAAAAGAAGAAGGGAAAAAAGAAGAAATGAAAAAACTCACTTCCTCCAAGATAAGGAAAATTCAGAGGTGTTTCATTCAGTGAACAATGGCCTGGGGGAATTCAAAGGATGCTACAGAAGCCTGGCAATAAAGCCATTAAATGTTGTTTCAAACTACTTCATGCAGCCGTTTGAGTTTTGGATTTAGATAATGTGCCACAGAAATCTCATGCATGTGTGTGTTTGTAAGGCCTGATTCCTACATGCATTGTCAGTGTAATTAATGAGGTATTTCCCTGCTACTTTTTACTTAAGATTTATGTATAATATTGTCAATTAGAGCTGCTGGAAAATATTTTAGTCCAGTAATGAGTTTCAAAGAAGGTGTCTGCTCCACAGAAAGACCACAAAGATATGGGATAAATTTGTATTTCCACATTTGCACTATATTTCAGCGAATTCCACAAGATCCACCAGATTTGTATTTTCCCAGGCCTTCCTCAGTCATAATCTATTTAGACACTGAATTGCCTGAGGAGCTGTAAATCTCAGCATTAATGTCTTTCTGTGGTGGTAACTTCCATCAACACTGGCCTACACCTAATTCTTGAGCAAAAAATCAAAATGAAGAATGCTATTTTACCAGAATTACTCTTCTTTTTATCAGAGAACTGGCCACCCACAGTAAATATTACACAGTCACCTCTTTTTTCCAGGGTAGGTCAAGTATTTGCTCTGACTAAAGTGCTGAGGAGAAGTTTCTAGAACAGAAGTGCATCCAGGTCAGTAATTCTGCCTCCTGCAGCAGCTGATGGTTGTGGGGAGTGGTGCATGAATAGGGCAACCACATGGGGATCATCTCCTTGGAGTGCTCTCCCACTCAGCAATCATTTTGGATTTATGGAACCACAGGCAGCATCTTTGCTTTCAGAATGTCTGATTGCTTCCTGAACCCTGTGACCTACAATATCCCATGGAAAGGAATTCCAGAGCTCCATTAGGCCTGGAGAGGGGAACCAACTTCTTTTGTTTGCCCTGAGCTTGCCACCTGCCCGTTTTACTTCCCACTCCTTGATTTTTGAACTGGGAGATGAGACAACAGCCATTTCCTTTAAACAAGGACAACTTTCCTTTAAGGACAACTATGACTATAAATATCTCCCTTACACCCCTCCTCAGCCATCTCTTTTCCAGACTTAGAAATCATAATCTCTGTAGTTTCTCTGAATACAGAAAATGCTCCAGGCTTTCATCACCCTGCACCTTTTCTTGCTTTGCTTTATCCTTTTATCCATGTAACTGAAGGCCAGAGCTACAAGCAGTGTCCAGGATTTGGGGACAGTATGAGTTAATATTGAGGGTCTGAGATTTTCTTTCCCCCAAATTCCATGGCTTTAGTATTAGTGGAACTGGGCAGACAAGAGTGCCCATAACTCACAGTAACTGACACTACGCTCTCTTGGCAGCAGCAAAAATGATCTTGCTTTGCTTGACCACAGAATTTTTGGTATAAATGCACACACACACACACACACACACACACAAGTATTTAGTGAATTCCACAGAGTGCACAAAGGGCATTGTGTCAGGAGAACAAGCCACACACATCCCACAGGACATCTGTCCCCGAGTGGGAGAGGCGGTCTGGTTGGAGAAATGTTCTTAAATACATTGGCCTCTGTGACCGGGCTCAGGGCAGACCCAGCCCAGGGAGAACTTCCTTCTGGTTGAGGCAGGAACACAGTTACAGCAGCACTGCTACATGTGCCTCTTGTTTACAAAGAATCATGGAATCATTTTGGTTGGAAAAGGCCTCTAAGATCATCGAGTTCAACCATCAACCAGCACCGCCGTGGTCACCACTCAACCATGTCCCCAAGTGCCACATCTAAGCATTTTTTGAACCCTTGCAGGGATGGTGACTCCACCACTGCCCTGGGCAGCCTGTGACAGCGCCTGACCACCCTTTCAGGGAAGAAATTTTCCATAATATCCAACCTAAACCTCTCCTGGCACAACTTGGGGCCGTTCCCTCTCCTCCTGTCCCTTGTTCCCTGGCAGCAGAGCCCGACCCCCCCCAGCTCCCCCTCCTGTCAGGGGGTTGCAAAGCCAGAAGGTTCCCCCTGAGCCTCCTTTTCTCCAGGCTGAGCCCCCCCAGCCCCCTCAGCTGCTCCTGCTGCTCCAGCCCCTTCCCCAGCTCCGTTCCCCCGAGGCAAGTTTCTCTCCCGTGAGACAAGTTTGGTGGGAAGAGGTGTTACCCCGCATTTCTCTGAGTGTATAATCTGATTTAATAAATGCTTTGTTTCGTGGTCACTTGCTGAATAAGGGCCTGAATCCCTGGTTCCTGGGGGGCAGCTGCCGGCAGAGGTCACCGTTGCTGTGGCTGATCTGGAAGGGGTTGAGTTTCACTGGCTTTTAGTGGCCTCACATTTGGGATTGACAAATATTTCTAACCCCACCAATCCAGCACTGGCTTTTGCTGTTAGAGCATTGAATCTTTTGGAATGAAACCATGAATTTTTTTAACCTTTTTTTTTTTTTTGTCAGCAGAGTTGGTTCTTAAAATATAGACTGAAAAAAATCACAGATTTCTGTGATTTAAATCATCAGTATTTTTTCCACTTGCCTTTAATTTAATTCAATTAATGCTAATTAATATGTATTCAATAGTCTGTTAGTCCTACAAGCATGTTGTATGGAAACAACAAAAAAAAATTAATAGAATTTGTAATTAAATGAGTATTTTTATATGGCCAAAACCGTGGAGCAGTAGGGGAATTTATGGGATTTATTAATTTGATTCAAATAATCTAGTTTTTAATGTGTTCTACTCGACCCTTGTTCTAGGCATCCCATTAAAGGCACACAGTTTACACTTGAAAATGCTAATGTGAATACATATTTTAGGTATTTTTCTAATCTGATTTTTTAAATTAATATCTTATGGTGATTTCATAGGCTGCCCAGTTATTCTATGGAGTAATTGTTTATTTAACATATGGGATAAAATGATGCTCATGGTAGTTATAATTCTCCAGTGAACTTAAATGAAGAAATCTAAAAGATAATTTCAGGTTTGGTTGGAGAAAAGAGTCACTGCAATGGGAATGAGAAAAAGAAAGCCACAGTTACTTTCTTTCCCACCTTGTTGTGAGTGACAGATCCCTTCAGGGTGAGTGGCTGGGATTGATCAAGATGTGAAATCACTGTTACTCCACTGCCCAGATGTGTTGGGGGCTCCTCTCCAGATCTGGCTGAGAATTTGTTTAAAAATGATTCATATGGATGATTATTAATATATTTAAAGGCCAAGTCTTTCTTATCATACTTGAGAACGCTCCAGCATATTTAATTTTTCATTCCATCACTGCAATCTCTTTGGGAAAGTGCAGAAAATATTGTAGCCCTCATAGTTTCAGATAAATGCCTGAAATGGCTGTTGTCAGGGGGATTTTAAAAGCCTGTTTTCCATAATATTTGAACCAGCTCCAGAGTGCCAAGAACTGGAACGTGCAGACAAATCAGCTCCCTCTCTATCTTATTGCAGATAATTGTCACCTTTCAGTTTGGCTTAGCAAAAAAAGTGCCCAAAAAACTTTATTGTGACACTTTAATGCATGAAAACATCCATAAATTATCTGTCTAACAGTCACAATGCAACTTCCAAGCTGTGACAACTTGGAAAACCAGCCTGACAAGCACGCTCACTTTTGGTGTTTTTCTAAAACTTCTTGAGCATATAAGGAGAATTTAAAGTGAAGAAAGAACCGAAGCACAAATACTTCTTGTTCTCAGCACACAAATTTCTTCTGTCTCCCTGACTGGGGTCCCTGTTTTCATCTCTGTCTCAGCTAAAAGAGTGTTATCACCCTCTATAAATCAATAAACATTGTCAGCTCCATCCTGTCACTACAGGCAGGCAGCAGGGAGGTCGTGAGCTTTTCCAAGTGGACATCCTAGAGGATACACGGTCTTTGGTGAAGTGCTGCTCTGTCTGCAGCTAAAAGGATTCTGCCTTGGGCCAGTCACGCTTTGATTTAGCAAAATTCCTATTTATTTATGTTAGTACAGGAAGAAAGGAGTTTTTATCCAGAGTAGAATTATCACAGGGGGAAAAAAAAAAAAAAGCAAATAAGAAAGCCTTAATATTCAGAACAAAGCCAGGAAAGAATTTTCATATAGGTGTAACTGCTGTAGAATGCAAATAAAACTAACTTTCCCCTATACCTGGATAAAAAGAATAAGAACACTTGCATTTCCCCTAAGATTAAGCTGCTCTTGCTAAGGATGTTTTTCAGGCTTTAAGCTTATCCACAGCTGCTGCAGGAACACCTTCCAGATGTGCGTGCAGCCAAACCTGCCCCGGCAGATGCGATTTTCGGTTTCCCTAGACCACGCTTTGCTCGCAAAAAGCTGCTTTCAAGCCTTGAAGTATTTCGCAGACACCCAATCTGTTCCCCCTCCGGAGAGCGAACAATCCCCGCGACAGCCCGAACCCGGTTGAGGAGATGCCGAAGTTGCCCCGAGCGGTGCCGCGGGTCCGCGGGTCACTCACTCACCTCAGAGCCGGAGCGCTGGACGCCGGGGGGACAGGGGCTGCCGGGGGGTCTCCAGGCCGCTCTGCGCTCTGCAGCACCCCAGTGCTCGGCCACTCTCCCAAGCCAGAAGATCCATTCACATTCCCTCTGCCTTCGCAGCCTCATTCAGCGCTCGCAGGGCTCAGCGCCGCACTGACTCACAGCGATCCGGCTCCCTCTGGGTCCTAGCGCTGGGGACGGGTGGGAGCTGCACGGGCTCGCAGGAATTCAGCCCCTTGGCTCGCTGCCGAGCCCAGGCGAGGGATGCACAGATGCGCAGTGAAAGTTTCAAAGCGTGGCTGGTTGTCTGACCGCGCACACGGAGCGCCGGGAGAACCCTCCGGCTTCCCGGTGCCGCTGGCAACAACTGAAACCCTCTCTGAGGGGTGTTTTGTCCTCAGCCTTTCCACTCTGCATCCTAATCCTTGCCCTCGATTTAAAGACGAGGGCTCGCAGAGCTCCCTGATGAATGGGTCCTTTGGAAAATCATCTCCAGAGCCCTTTGCTCATCTCGGGCGTCTGGGAACAAACCTGTAGGGACGCCAATAGTTAACTGGGGAAGCGGTGCACTGTGTTCCCTGCAAAAACCGAGCAGTCCCCATTATCAGCTGGCTCTAACTGGGGTCAGCCAAGCGCTGATCTAGAGTAGCAAAGAAATATTTGACCCTGACTTGACGCAGAGGAAAAGATTATATAAGTACCCTTCCAGCTGTAATATTCCGTGTTTAACACGCTTACCTTAAGTAACAAACAGATATGGAAATGTTTTTCTGTATGTTTGAGGAGCTGGATTAACCCCACAACAGTGGGGTTTAGGCACTGGTAAATATAGGAAAGAAATGTGAGAAGTGAAAATGAAAAATTTCATTTATATGTACATATAAAAGGCAATTTGGCTAAAAAACCTCCGCTCTCAAAAAAGTTGGCAACTCTGTAGAGGATTATGAAGCAGCCCCTTAGAATTTCCTAGTTTTCATTTTGGCATAGTGGAACCTTTGTTGTGATTATACAGACCCGAGGAAAAAAATTAAAAGCAGATCACTGCATTTTATCTAAGTGGAAATAATCAAACACTTTTTGATTCCATCCAGGAGAGGGCAGCCAGCTGGAGAGACTGGTCCTTCAAATCCTTTGGGAAAGATGTGTGGAAGGCACTACAGAAAGGCAAAGAGCAAGAAGGCAAAGTAGCTTTGAGATAATCATGTTATTTGCCAGAGGGACATGTTGCTTTCTGAACCTGGAGCAACCATATCTCAGTGTTTTATTAAAATTAAGACAAACCTTAATTTTCATCCCCACAGTGCCAAAGATAACAGTGGCTTCAGTGATAGCTCGATTCTTGGAGGTGATGTGCATTTAAAATTGCCTGGAATGTCCTTAAGGAAATTGCAGCAAAAAATCCTTGATGCAAGTGCTCAAATTGCCTTCCCCATTTGCCAGGGTTATGGAGATTGCTTTGTTTTTCTCCAAGAAAAATGCTTCCACACATGATAGCAGTCACAGGCCAAAGTGTGATGTCCTCATTTACACAGAGAGACTTTCTGCAAGTTTTGCCTGAAAACCTTGACCTCGGGATTTGGGCTGAGCTTCGGGTTTCGTGGCAGAGCTGCCAGGCTGTTCTTGTGCTGAGCATTTGTCTCACTTCATTAGAATATCCTCAGATTAGGACTTTGTGCTGGAAAATTGGCAAGAGCATTAGAGCCCATTGTGACCGTAGCAAACAGCATCAAAAGAAAGATATAAAATGATGGGCTTTTCCTTTTCTTTACTTAAAGAATAGTGCACACTTGTGCTGAGCATCTCTAAGTTGATTTCTTGGCAAGAGCTGCCTGTTTTTTCCTCAAAACTGTGTCACAAAAGCTCATTTGGACACAGTAATCAGTAATATATTGTGTTTGTGCTTAATCTGTATCACAAGCACTCATCTCTGTCTTGAAGAAATCCTGCCCTTGTCCTATATACCTCTGGAGTTCACACCAGCAGGTTGATATGTGCAAGCAGCAGAACTGTGTCCACCCCTGGGAAGCAGCACGAGCTAGTCTGCTTTTTCTGAGGTTCCTATGTCACCCAAACAAACACCACTTCAGCTTTTGGAGTAGGTGTGGCAGCAGTGCACGGAGGAATTCCTGATCCCAGGTGGGCTTCTCTGCTCAGAGCACTGCACAGAGGTGGATCCTTCTCTTGCAGCAGTGGCTGGAACCACAGATTTAAAGAGAAAAGTCTTGCTTAACTTTTCTCCTCCACGAGCTGAGGAAGAGACTGCTTTTCCTCAAAACAGAAAGGCTCAACCACTTCTTCCCAAATGCTTTCCCTGAGACTTTCAGCTGCACAAAAGACACTGACTCCAGGAGGAAACCATAGAATCACAGGATGGTTTGGGTTGGAAGGGACCTTAAACTCATTCAATCCCACTCCAACCTTCCACTAGCCCAGGTTGCTCCAAGCCCCGTCCAACCTGGCCTTGGACACTTCCAGGGATGGAGCAGCCACAGCTTCTCTGGGCAACCTGTGCCAGGGCCTCCCCACCCTCACAGAGAATAATTCCTTCCCAATATCCCATCTAACCCTGCCCTCTGGAAGCCATTCCCCCTTGTCCTGTCACTCCAGGCCCTTGTCCAAAGTCCCTCTCCAGCTCTTCTGGAGCCCTTTTAGGCACTAGAAAGGACTCAAAGGTCTCCCTGAAGCCTTCTTTTCTCCAGGCTGAACACCCCCAGCTCTCCCAGCCTGTTTATGTTGGAGATATTAAGCTTTTAATACTCAGCTGGACGAAGCTCACCCATGTTTGGCCAAGTAGAAGTTAATCAAGAGGTTGGAAGGAATGATCACAATGCAAGTTCTCCTCTTGTGTTCATTACAGAAAATGAAAAAGTTGATACAGGAATTAAGGGTCTGTTTTGCTTTTGTGAGTTGGTGCAGCATCACTGTGGGGCGTTACATGTGTGGGAGAAGTTTCTAGAAAAAATCAGAAGCTCACTTATGGGTCATGAATAAATGGGTCAGACAAACAAGTTCATTACTGATTTGCTGCAGGACCCAGTCTCCTGTAAATATTTTCTTAACTGTCTCTGCCTCGTGGCTTCACAGCTGAGTCGATAACACATAGGGAATGTGGCTTGGGCACGTTGGAAAATCGATGGGAACATGAAGCATCTCCAATACCCTGCAATTCAAGCTGAGTGGGGACAGGAACACTCATTTGTGCTGGATTGCAGCAGTGATTTGCACTGATCTTTCCTTTCTCTTTCAGTTAGTTCTGCAGAAAGGAACCGTTTGACTCTGAATGAAGGCATCTCAAAAGCCTGAGCTGACTAAAAGCAAAATGTGTGTTGATGGTTCAAGTGCTGTTACAGATGGGGAATATAATTGTGATGGCAGTGACACACAGACAGAGCTATGAAAAAAACTTCACATTCCGCTTCAGACTCAGCAGAGATTTGGCCTGAGAGTCGTTTGGAGAGATAAAACAACTACAAATTTTTCTGGAATACACAGGCTTACAGTTCTGTTGGAATACATTCTTTATTTAATATATATTTTTATTAATGGCTTTAAACTGAAAGAAGGGAGGTTTGCATCAGACATTACAAAGAAATTCTTCCCTGTGAGGGTGGGGAGGCCCTGGCACAGGTTGCCCAGAGAAGCTGTGGCTGCTCCATCCCTGGAAGTGTCCAAGGCCAGGTTGGACAGGGCTTGGTGGAAGGTGTTCCTGTTTATGGCAGGGGGTGGAATGAGATGAGCTTTAAGTTCCCTTCCAATCCAAACCATTCCATGATTATATTGTTAAAGTTCAGCTACTGGTTGGCACTGAGGATCAAATGAGATATTTAAAATGTGTGCTATTTAAAATGTTAAAAGAACGATGGATTTTGAAAATCAGCACTGAGAGGTTTATTCCATACTCTTTTGTGAGAGGATGAAACATTTTAAGATATTCCACTTAGTATCTGCAAAGTTTTCTCTCAGGATGTAGCTTTTTGTGCTTGGCTGAGCCAGACTTGGGTTGAAGTCTGAATTCTCCTTGGAGAGAAGAATTTCTCATTTGTCAGTCAGAGTTCACTAGTGTTAGGCTTTTTTGTGAGGTCTCTCCTTGGTCAGAAGCTCCTCTGATGGACTTTTAGAAGGAACACACATGCCCTGGTGCACCTTTCACATTCATCTCTGCGACAGGAACGTTTCAAGAGCCACTAAAATACATCCTTCCCCTGTTTTGGGGTTGGGTATTTTTGCCTGGTTCTGCACTGCTAACACTGTGCCAGCATTAATCTTTCCAAGATCCACAGTCTGACAGTGGTAACCCATTTTTGGGGGGTGTCAGCACTGCCAATGAAGCTCAGCTGGTCAAAGACTCACTCGGTGCCAGCGTGACATGAGAGCTCTCGTTGGCAGGTCTGGATGTACCACCTGTTGCTGGACAGTGGGACCATCATCTCCAGATTCCCTGAGAATCTGTGGCTTCCAGCATCCCTCCTGCAAAGGGTTTGGAAGCAGAGAGGAGCATCAGCTCTGGCCTAGGATGATTCCCCTCTGCTGTGATTGATGAACTGAGCCTCATGTTTTCCTCCCTGCTCTCCCACCACACTCTAACAGGAGCTGTATCTCCTTGTCAAAGCCTGGGCTCATCACATGAGCACAGTCCATGCTGAGATAATGAGAATAATTTGCCCCTAAGACCATGCTTTGCTCATGACCTCTGGGAGCTGCAGCTGCTTAAGAGATTTTATATCCACGGGGGATGAGTATTAAAATCTGATCCTTTTTGCCATGTTAGTGGGCAAATGACACATGATCATATCACAATTTTTCCTTCTTTCAGGCTCACAGAACTGCATCTTCCTGTACAGCAGGAAGCCTCACTGAAGGCACAGGTGTGTAGCGAGAATCTGAGCTACAGGCAGTGCCCACAAGGCAGCAGATTGTACTTGTTCTTAGGCTTCAGTGGCCCTGAATAACAGATTAATATATACAACATCACAGGAACTATGGCCACTCTGCCAAAGGTTCCCCCACACAAGTATCCTCTTTTCTTCAGAGGCCCCAAAACATTTTAGGGCCTGAATGTCAACCTGTTGTAAAGCAGACAACAGGAGGAGAACTCAGAAAGGTGGTGCTTAAATCCTGTGGAGGAGGTGGGACAAACACTTTGGCATTTGACTTGCTGGTGTATAATTTTATAAGTGCAAAATTAGGCTTTTCATTAAATACCCTTTCCTGCTCTTGGGTCTGAACATGGTCTTTTTCTATAAACATGCTGTTTAAACCTTCCTTCTCAGAGGCACCAGTTCTGTGGGAGGTTTTTAAGAGAATATTTGTGGAGAGGAGGCTAAAGTACTAAGTAGCAAAATGTCACCAAGCTTTGGAGTTGAGGTAAAAAAGGCAATTTGGTAAAACTAGCAATTATTCTGTGATAACAGGTATTACCTGTCTGCTTTAAAGTTCATCCAGGATTTGTCCAAGCTCTGGTACCAGGACAGGCTTTACAATATCAGCCAATTTCCTCAAAAACTTATGCCCTGTAAAAGTTTTCCAGCTACCTGTGCTTTACCATAAATCAGTTAACCATGAGAGAGGCCAGACCTTGGGGAGAA